GTGCATTGACAACGAACATTATACTTACTAATGAAATTGCAGACTGTTTATATATAAGATTGATCGACAATTATACAACTCCCAAATTAGGACACAACCCAGAGAAATCTTGATATTGCCAGTCTGATACAATTCAACCAAAAGAGACTCACAGGATTGAGATGAAAGTTGTATTTTAATACACAGGCATACAACCCAACACTGTCATCCACTCTTCAAGAGATTACAGATTCTTTTGGCAAAAAATATTTTATTTTCTTCAATGCACGAAGAACACCTTGCTTTTAGGTGATGCATTTTGGAAATTCTCTTTTCTGAATTACCAGATCAGTCATATGGATAAATCCTCAAGCCACATGCATTGAACATGGCCCAAATTATGACCAAAGAGTTACAGGTCCATGTGTAGAGTAAATTCACAATTCAGGGCATTGAACATTCTAAGCTATAAAGGGAGACATATGATATGCCTCCCCAGTCCACACACAACAGTTTTTGCAGCTGTAAATGTACTTTAGTTGATCAACAAATGCAACTTTGTTCAAACCTCAATACATACCGGTATTGTCTGCAAACTGTATTTATTCTATACAGAGGCAGCAGTAAAGCCCAAACAATATTCCACCTCCAACAGTAAGGTAATTCTAAACGCATGACATGAATATACCATTACCTATACATTAAATTAGCATTGTGATCCAAAATGTCGCTATAACCATGGTTGATGAATCAAAGCCTTCACATGCATTGTCGTTGGAAAAGAAACATGGCTGGTCACCAGCAGAACACTCGCATTGCTTTTCTTCTGTGCAATTAACAGAGGTTTCCTCCTGTACCAGTGTTGATGTATTCACCACTATATATATATTTTCAAACATAGTCCATTGAGTCTAAATACGCCTTTCTCTCAACACCCTGCGCAGTCAAAATAACTGAATATTACATGGCATACAATTACTTTGGTGGAAACAAACGCACACTTGATAAGCTCTAGCAAAGTACAAGTCAAAGTAATAATTGGAAATAATTCACAGAAAAAGCCATGTCCGCGTACATCATACATAAAAGCTGGAGCACTTCAGAATTGTTACAAACCAGTAGCATGTCAACATTTTACAAATGCACTCAAACTGACGTATTTACAGCAAATCTCAGTATTGGGGCAGCCAATTTGCAAATTGGCTAACTGCTTGGGTTTTTTTGAATTTCGCTGGCGCTGTCCTGTGGTCACGCGCACTCTGGGTGAATCTATATAATAATAGGGGACGGTTGTCATACTTTAGGAGCTAATCAGCGACTGTTTTACAGTTAGGAGATTTCGCTTTCAAATGTACCAGGGAAAGTGTTTTCCTTGTTCAATGAGGTGTTCGTATA